AAAGTTTGACACATGATGCATATATGCTATAAACCATTGGCTGTAGACATAACTAATGAGGTGAGTTTAAGCTAAGAAGATCACGGCAAAAAAACTCATTGGGATGAAGAAAATGAGGCTACAAAAGAGGGTCTAAGTGAACTAGAAGAGTATAGGCCTAGTCTTCTCTAGTCCACCTATACATCCTATAGTGATACACCCTTAGTTGATCAGTCTAGTGAGATGGAGCAGCTATAGTAGTAGCAGATGCAGTAGTAGCATTACAAAGTCAAGGCTAGCTATGCCTTCGCTCACAAGACTACGAATTAGTTAAGCGAGCCAGTAGTCCGAAGCTTCATAAAAGAGCTTGCTCAACACATCAAGGGAGGAGGCAAATAACCAATTGATGAGCCGATGCAGCCAGTAAAAGACGAGGAAACAACGAAATATTGCACGCAGGTCTTGAGCTACCTTAAGACAATCACCAAGAAAGTGGATAGAGTCATGGGCGAGCAAAATCATCAGCACCATATAATTCAAGAACTCAAGAGTGTGTAAGCTCTTGACTTTGGACTTCCCGGGAGGTCACCCAGCCCAATACTATTCAAACCTAAGAACGCCCCAAAACCCTTAACTGATTTGCACTCTTGTTCATGAGCCCTTTCCCTTTATATTTGAACCCATATGGATTATCTCTCGAGTCGTTTTCTTTGGTTGCTTACAATCCACCACACTTCCCCTCCACCATGCCCTTGTGAACGGAAGCTAAGAGCCATAGCTCTCCCGAGAGCCCCACTCTCTTAACACCTAACCCCTCGGCTCGAGCCCAGTAGAGCAAACTAAACCTGCTAGATATCAATTAACATATGGTGTGATTCCCCTAAACCAACCAATAGTGTCAAACTCATGACACCCAACCCCTCGGCTCGAGCCTAGCAGAGCAAAATGGACTACTAGATATTAATTAACATATGGTGTGATTCTCCTAAACCAACCAACAGAGTTAAACCCGAAACCTCTCTAATACCAAATGTAAGCTCTCAATCAACATGTGGTGTGATTCCCCTAAGCCAACTAACAGAATCAAACCCGAAACCTCTCTGATACCAAATGTAAGCTCTTAACTTTGGATTTCCTGGGAGGTCACCCAGCCCAATACTATTCAAACCTAAAGACACTTAATCCCACCTAATCCCAAAACCCTTAACTAATTGGAAAAGAAGTGCACTCTTGTTCATGGGCCCTTTCCCTTTATATTTGAACCTTTATCGATCATATCTTGAGTCGTTCTCTTTGATTGTTTATAGAGTGAAATCCCGATTTCCACATCCACCAATGCAAAGCACATCAACTACTAAAACTAGCACATTGCAATGCTTGACCAGGAAATTTAGATCATGCGTCAGGAACTTAATGATATATGCCAAAGTATTGAGTTTATCACCATGAAGACCAATCTTGACAACTTAGAGCAAGATTTGGAGAATCCAACTGCTTAAGGACAATCAATAGCTTTGTTATAAGGGTGGTAAATATTTTATCTTGTGTATCTTCTCAAGCAGAATAAAAGAAGGAAGCTTAGGCAAAATAAAGTTATACCTAAGTTTAGGCATCTAAAGAAGAAAGACCCAACTTAAACAATGTTTGTCATAAACAAATATGAAACAATTAGGAATGGTTACAAAATTATGTAGTACATAAGTAAACCCTCACTCACTATTGTATGCATTTGCATTGAATTAGCCACTTTTTATCCCACTTATGACTATTTGTGCAATATAGAGTTGAGAGAGTGACACATGCTTATTTTTATTTATGCTTTTGGAGTTTGAGGCTAAGTTATCTCCTATTCTCTTCTTATTCTTCTTTTCTTCTCTATGTTTTTATCTCTATTTGTTTGTCACTATTTTAAAAGTAGGGGCAAGAACATAAGTATAGGCAGAAAAAACCTTACTCAGTTATGTTAGTTAAAGAGCACTGTCAAAGGTGGCTAGAGCAAATGCATGTATAAATTTTACAAGATCTTAAAAAAGTGTTAACCATATCAATTTAATCCACTTTAACATATTTGGCTCAAAAGGCATTTTCACAATCATTAATATGTCCAAATACATATATAAAAGCATCATTCCAAAAATGATATATAACAATCACAATAAAGTAATCAAATTAATAGTACATATCATCCTAAGGATTTCTACAGAAGAAATGTGGCTAGACACAAGGATTGACAGTAAGAGCAATAAAAGCTGCACCACACGCCTTAAATACAAGCATCAATTGAGTCTAATTGGTTAATTGCAATTAGATAGCATCGAGCAATTATACCAATTGCTATTCTAAAGTCAAAGAGGTGTATATTATTCTGCCATAAAGATGAAATAAAAAATAAAAATAAATAAAAGAAAATAAAAGAAAAACCTATAGGAATGAGAGAGATCTAGAGAATGTAAAAGCTAGATCTAAACAAAAATCACAAATCAAATTACTCTTTAGGGGTAATTAAAATTTCCCTACCAATATGAATGTTTGAAATATAGAAATGAAATATAAAAATCTGCATATTAGGTTACCCAAAAAACCCTAGTTTATATATAAAGGCAAGTAGTCTGAATTAAAACCAATTCAATAACTCACTACATTAATATTAATATACAGCTTGCAGTACACTTAAACCCTTTAATTATCATGATCATATTCTTAACTTTTGATGGAAATAAGAATTACTCAAAAGGAATTAGGAGTTCTTTCTTGTGGTTCTTTGGAGTGAAAGTTTCAAACAAACAAGCTTATACAAACATTTAAGAACTCCTTTCTCATACCAAAAGGCTGATTGACTTAGTATTTATTACAAATAACTCTGATTTGTCATCAAAGATCATAGCTGCCAAGGCATCCAGCTCCTCATCCCTTGATTTGGGTGTGATTTCCTTGGGAAGTCCGTACCACATCTACTTTGGCACCATGGAGCAAGTCAACACAAGGAGCGGCTTCAAGTGCCTGAATCGTGTTTCAAGATGGTGGCCTTGCTGGGCTCGGTTTTGGGAGGTTGAGTTGATGGAGATCGTTGAAGTTTCAGAGGATACAGAGCGTTACTCTGAATCCGTTTTTGCAAGAGGGGGCTAGGAGCAGCCCTGAATTGTACCTCCAGTTTTGCTCCAAGGTTTGGGCCCATATCAGAAAATTCACGGTTTTGATGTTTGTTTCCAACACCCAAAACATTGAATCCATCTTGCAGCGGGGTTTAAATCTCCTCGACTTTCCCCAGCCACTCGACTGCACCATGGTCACACTGTTCTTCTCATCCTCCCCTATGTCCTGGAACACAGGGCGCAAGAGCTCCACATTGTCACATTGTACACAATTCTGTTGGAATGCCTCTTTCCAAGGGATTTTACAAGCCGCACGCACAGCCGTGGCTCACCATCGATTCCCCCGCCAACCTAGCCCTAATTGTTTTGAAATGGGCGGGGAAAATACACGAAATTCCTAGCATATGCTCAGAGCCGAGTAGTTTTTGGCATTGAGAGAGGGTAACCATTTGGCAACGATGCCCTGCTCGCGCTCGCGATGTGCAATGTGCGCGTAGATCACCTTGCTCTTGAATTCCTGCATCGCCTCCCCAAATTCCAGCCCCAGAGCGATCCTCGATTCCTCGGGCGTGGATGCCGCTGCGTTGTAGTCGTGGTAGAAGGATTCGTCCAGCAAAAGCCCCACCTCCGGAGCAGTGGGGACGATCACATCCACTTCGCTGCCATAGGAAAGAAAAGTGTTCGATGATCCATGATGAATAGATCACTCTGTTTGTTACCTCCTTAGCGCCCGATTGATCGTCGTGACTGGAGCGATGTCTCGCATCACCGCCACTGCCAATCCCACCATCTTCCTGATCTGGTATGCCATGAAGCTCCGGGCAAGCACGATGATCCTCACAAACTCGCTCCCTCCAATCCAGATCTTGTCCGCCGCTCGAAATTCCACCACTGTCCGCCGCGCCTCGCGGTCGCCCGGCCGGACGCGCCACGAGAAATTGTGGAAACTGTGATCAGTCCCCAGGAATCGTCCCAAGATCTGGTTGAATCGCTCGAAATCAAACAAGAATTCTTCCTCCAGATCATCCCCAGTCCGCGGATCAAACGCAAAGATTGGAAGCACATACTCGTAGCGCCGCGAAGCGCACATCTTCTTGGCGCTGAAATCGTCCGGGACGCGCTTGAATCCCAGCAGCCGGATGGATCCTGGGAGGAACTCGTTGGTGCGATGGACGAGATCGGGGGTGAGGTAGAGCCTGGCCGACACAACTTGCCCTAGGGCGCTCACTTCCTTGTCAGTTCTTGCGGCGCGCTTCCAATCCAGCCAGTTCCTGGAGCAGCCATTTGATCCGATCGCCCCAGCTCGCACCAGCGCCTCCTCCAAGACTCCCTCGATCGTCGCGGCGCCAGGATTGCGCTGCATTCCCTTGTAGCCCGCGCCGCAGTAGACCACGAACAGGGCAGCCTTCTCCATTCCCTGTGGAGCCCTAAAAGAATAATGCCCTAAATGATAGAATATGCTGATTGTTAAGAGTGCCCTAAATCCGTTTTTAAGTAATTAGAATATCCTAGTCCCAGTTGTCTTCAAAGATCATGGCTTCTAGGAAATACGGTTCCACAATCTTTGATCTAGGTGTCATTGTTTTCAATTCCCACCCTTCAGGAGATTCATGCCGCATTGACTTCAGCACCATGAACACGCGAACTAGGAGTGGCATCAAGTTCTGGAATCGCAGCCGAGATAGATGATGCTGTTGAGCTTTTGGATATGGATTTCATCGTGCCAGAGTTGCAAAGCAAGTTTCCAAAGATAAAGAGTGTTAAGCCAAATCCGGTGGTCTCAAGAGCACCCATGGACGCTACCTCCAGTTTTGCAAGGCTCTCAGAAATCTGAAACTTAATGTTTCGTTTCATGGAAAATCTTTCATTATTATAAGTTTACTTTGTAATTTCATGGATATTTCTTTTTAACCTAGTTAGGGTTTGCGGATGACAAGGAAGAGGGCAAGGCAAGAGGTTTTTTCCAGGAGTAGCGAGGAGGTTGAGGAGGATGAGCCACGCTTGTGCGCGCCCCATGTACTTTCGTTTTTGAAGGAAGCATTCGAACGGAAGTATCAAACTGTGAGTGGTCTGGACAATGTGGAGCTCTTGCGCGCTGAGCTCCAGGAAGTAGGGGAGGATTGGCTGCGTGGGAAGAACAGGATAGCGCCCATGGTGACCATGGTACAGTCGAGTGGCTGGGGAAAGTCGAGGACTACGTGTGAGCTTGCGACTCGGGGTGTGTTCGTGGTTTACTGCTCCTTCGCCTCGCCCTCCGGCTCCGCGTACCCTCCAAGGTCCGCCATTGCCGATTTCTTCTACGACAGCGCTGTCACCTTGCTCAGCTCGGGGCCATTGCTTGTGTCGCAGAGCAGGTTCATGCTCTTTTGCATGGACTACTTCGAATCGTGCATCGACACAGCCGTGGAGACGAAGTTGGAGCCGGAAGCATTCCTGAAGGAGCTGATGCTTGGAGCCAGAGTCTGGAATATAGTGCGGGACAAGATCAATGGTCGGAAACACGACCGGGAGAAGCTGTCTCGGAAGCTGGAGCCGGTTCTCTTGCGCCTGCATGGAAAGGAATCCAACGTTTGGGACGAATGGGAAGACTTGCTGCTACTTGCGAGAAGGAGAACGAAAATTCGCAACAAACTCAAGGACTTCCCAGCGTCTCCAAGTGGGAAGCTCCAAGTTTTGTTCGTCATGGACGAAGCCCGATGGTTTGCTCACGGCCATTATGAAGGAGCGACAGGACAAGAGCTACCAGGGTTCTGCCAGACACAGGAGCTGTGGCTGCTATCTTCATCGACACCTGCAGCAGTATTATCAAGAGCTTAGCTCCGGGTCCAGAGGCTCATCCCGGCGACCGTGTCGGTGCAGAAGGAGCGGTCGTTGCACATCCTCTCTACTGCATGTTTGCGGCGCGCTCGCCACCGGAAACAGGCAGCCTTTCGCTCGATCATGTCACAGATTCGGGTCGTCTCTTTGCATACGGCCGTCCGTTGTGGGCAGCAATGTACAAGGCTTGTGGAAGTCGGGTACAGGTCCTTGCTGTGGAGAAGCTTCTTGGTGGTACTGGAACATCTAACAAGTTTCATCACAATGGAACGATATCGATAGAGGCCAAGTTGGCTGTGCTGTGCTCCAGGGTGTGCATCGACATTAACCCGCAGGCCAGCATTGTCTCTCGCATGGTTGCCAGCCATTTGCTTACCGTCGAGTCCATCTCGGACGACCGGGAGCGTGTCTGGACGGATTGGGCCGTGGAGCCAGCAGTTGCAGCGGCCGCAGCTCTTGTTTTGCGGCGACAGCCAATCAACGAGCCGAAGGCTTCCGGGTGGAAGATTTGTTTGGAAGAGCTTCAGGAAGGGCTCCAGAAAGGTTGGATCGATGCTGGTTGCAAAGCGGAGCTTGTGGCACGACTGCTGCTGTTACTTGCAGTGGACAGACTAGAGAAGCATGTGTTTGACTGCTTCACTCTAGAGGAGTTGTGTGGCAGCCTTTGCGGGAAGACGCTACTTTGCATAGAGGATGTTTCTCAGCGGAAGAGTTGGGAAAAGGTGGCGAAAGCGAAGTTCTTGTGCTTGCAGTTTAAAAGGCTCGACATACCACCAAAAGAGCTCACGAAGGAGCAAATGTTTGCACTGGGAAAGGCGGGTGTTGGAATCATCTGCCCAAAGGGGGGAGTCGACATGATCTTAGTGGGCTTCACGGGTGACACTTTCAGCCTGGAAACCATGACACTCGTTCTGCTGAAAGTCAGTCTTTGGGGGCAGCCACTGAAGCTGGATGTAGAATTTGCAAAGTGTTCCAGAGAGTTTTCCGGGATAGCACCAGAGCTCCAGGTACCATACGCCAGCTTGTTCCTGAATCTTGGCGACATGCCGGGGAGTGTCAGCTTCAGAAGGGGGAAAGCTGTCAAGGAAGTATTGCTGAATACGAGGCCTGCAAATGCTTCTATGGCGTTGGCGTTGAAAGAAGTTTTCCCACAATGCCGAGGTGTTCGTCTGTGGGAGAAGAATAAGGGAGAGTTATTCAAGCAAGGGAATTCTTATGAAGCGTGGAAAGCATATTTCAAAGGTTGCTTTAAGCTTCAAAACGTTGTGGCTATCCAAGGTACGTTTAAATGTATTTTTATGTTTTTTTTTAATGTGTTTTAATGTTTTTTTTTCAGGTTTAAAGGCATTTTTAGACGCAAAAAGAGTTGAAGATCTTCTCAAATTTTCTTTGCGTTCTACCAAGGGAATGAGGATGTTGGAGCAGAGGAGTCAGGAGAGGTGTTCAAAGCGCATGTATTGCTTTGTGGGAAAATGCAAAGTGCGCAAACTTGTGTAGTTTGTTAAAATACTACATTGGCAATTCTAACTAATACTGTTGTGGAAAGAAAATAAAAACAGAAATCTATTGTGCTTAGCAGGAACTCATACAAGCAGGTGCTCCGGCTGGGAGATCGCTAATGTACGGATGGGTACTTTGTGCCTTGAACCCATATCCAAGAGTACGATCATGGTGGCTGACGGGTTTGCAGTATGAGTTTGGGTGGCAATATTGAATTGACATCCATGGATCAGTTGCAAAGATCTTGGTCAGATTTGCAAGATGGATTCAATGTTTTGGGTGGAAGTTCCATGGAAACAAACATCAAAACCGTGAATTTTCAGATTTGGGCCAAAACCTTGGAGCAAAACTGGAGGTACAATTCATGGCTGCTGCTGACCCCGCAAAAACAGATTCGGTAACGCTCTCTCCTCTGAAACTTACTTCACAGCTCGGGCATGACGATCTCCATCAACTCAACCTCCCCTCGGCTCTGATCACAGGGCCCCGCAAGACTACCCCCTTGAAACACGATTCGTCATCTCAGTTAATCTTGAACATGCGCTTGAAAGTCGATGTGGTATGGACTTCTCGAGGAAATCACACACAGATCAAGGGATGAGGAGCTGGATGCCTTGGCAGCCATGATCTCTGATGACAAATCGGAGTTATATTCGTGCCGCTCCATTGTCATAAGATCTGGAAGACTGAGTTTCTAGTTTTTAAATGTTTGTATAAGCTTGGAAACTTTCACTCGAAATTCCTTTTGAAGGCTTTCTTTAGTAATTCTCTATCTCCGCTAAAAAAATCTCCCTCATAGTGGTCAAGGGTATGGAATGGATGGTTTATTTTTTAAGATTTGTGGCGATGGTGCACTGAAATGGTATGACTTTGGTGTAAGATGTCAATAGTATCTTTAATGTTAGGATAAATGTCCAAATGATGGGAGAGCTTTTCTTTAATCTGGCTTTCTAAATATATCACCACTCAAAGAAGCGAAGAAGAATAAGGGCTTTTGTTGGAATTCTTGAGGAATTTGCAATGAGGAGATGAAGATACCAAAGAAGAAGAAGAAGAAAATAATTAAGGCTAGGATTACTTGAGGGAAATGACTCATAAATGGTAAAAGAGTCATAAGATGATATTTAGGAAGTTGAGGATAAAGTCATGGATGATCGAAATGTATATAATACCTTAAGTTAGCTTTTATAAATGTTGGAACAACTTAGTGCACTTAAAGAACAAAATGATATTTTTATATAGGGTAGGGACAAGGTGAGCTAGCAGGACATTTTGTAAAGATGGTCCTAAAGAATATGTAAGGAGATATTATAACACCTTGAGAATAACTATGAAGTTACAATAATAATGACCATGGGATAACAAATCCAGCTGTATGTTAACTTTATAGAGTTGAATGACATAGTCTTAAATTGTGGACAAGATATATTATAGACCATAGTGATCCATCTCAATCAAAGATTGGGATGATTTTCAAATTAAGATTGTTATGAATCTCAATAGATGGCTGAAAGTGCCAACCTTATTAAAATGTCCATAGGTTGGTGCTAGTTAATATCATGGTTACTTATGAATGAGTTCATGGGAAATGCAAATGTTTGCAAATGCAAATTTTTCACTTTATTTTTCTGGGAAAAAAAACCAAAAAAATAAAAGAACTCTAGTGAGTTTTTGGGAGCAATAGGTAATGTTTATGCACATTCTATTCCAAGAATATTCTATAGCTCATACATTCTTTTGGGGATGGTAGATGCAAAATATGGCAATAGTAATGATAGCAATGACAAGGAGGAAAATACTTTGTGGTCGTGTGGCAAGAATACTAAATTACTAAGGTTCAAAGTGATATTAAGGAGGTTAAGGATTCCATCAATCTCATGAAGGATTTTTTATTTTATATGGACTCTTAAGGGTTAAATAAATCTTGTGTTTATGATTACCATTGATACATCAAACATGCCAAAGATCATAGTATTGTGAAATGGAAGTCATCACTAGATATTTGTAAGAGCCAAGAAATTGATTGTTGGTTGAAAATGTGGGAAAGTTCTTAGTCTCATAACTCTTCTAGGACAAAGTGAAAATTGATTTTTTGTGACCAAGCTTATAGGTCATGCTTTTTTGTGATGAAAGAACTTCATCAAAGCTAATCTAAAGCCAACTTTAATTTAACAAAAGTTTTCCATGTTTTGTTCGTCAAAAATTGAAGAGGTTGATCTCATGAACTAACTACTTAAGATCAAGCAAGAGGCTTTATCTTTAGATATGTATGCTTGCATGTTCTATAATCTTTGTTTAATCTCATGAGCACCTCTCATGAACTGTTAAAGGTGTGATATTTCATTAAAGGATTGAGCTTAATGAATGTGCAATAGAAGGTCAAGAATAAATTTCTTGCAATATTGATCACTAAGGCTTAAATCTTTTTGCCTAAACTACTACTCAACTTGGTCAATATTGGTCAATGAGATGGTCTATAAAGCAGTCAATATGATGATCAGCTAACAAATGCATCATATTCAAGGAAGAAACAACTATTGTTTCATTGTGGTTCAAAGAATAGAGATGGTAATATGGCTAAAAAACTTAATTCAGACCAACAGGAGAAAAAAAAAGTAAAAGGCAATTATTTTCATTGCTACATAGTTAGATATCAAAGCAAGGATTAGATTCTTGTGAAGGGGTCAAAAAATGTTAAAAGTGAATATGGAAAAATCCATCATGTATATAACTCAAATATTTGTTATGGTGGCTATTCCATATCTCATATCAAAGGTTCAAAAACTAAAGTCTTGAGTTTGTATTAACTCTACAAAGCTCAATAGTTCTATATGCAATCAACTTGTGAAGGCCAAGGGGAACATTTAGGGTATTGTGGTTATAATGCGCTTAGTATTTTTTTTCAATCTAGGTGCTATACAGAACTTTTTGAGTTCTAAGGTGACTTGGTTTGTTTGTGAAAAAATAATCTATGAAGTAGTTATGACAGATGGATATAACACATATGTTTAAGGTGGATAGGCTTTGAGTGTTTCTTTAATAGTTCAAGTGATTCATAACTATCCTTTGTTCTAGGTTATGGATTTTAGTAGCACAGATGTTCCTCTTGGGAAGGAATAGTTTTATGATAGGAAGCCAAAAATTTATTGAGAGTTTAATGTTTTACATATTGAAATTCATAGCACTGTAAAAGAGATTGTCAAGACTAACAATAGTGATACTTCATTGATTAACACTCTAGAGTTGGTAAAGTGCATGCATGAGATAGCTAATTCTTTCATGGTGTACTCGATATAATCATGTCTAATTTGGAGTACGTTTGTGGGTATGGGGCTTGTATGAACTACATTCAAAAGGAGTTTTGTGATGTATTTCTAAATGAGTTAATTGATAGTTTGCCCCTAAAACATGGGATTGAGTATGAGATTGATTTGGTTCCTAAAGTTACTTCTTATTATCAACAACCAACTTGTAGTAGTCCCGCTAATGATGAGGAGATCAATAAATATCTTGTTAAGTACCTTTGAAAGGGGTGGTTACAAATAAGTAAATCTTTTTTAGTTGCTCTAGTGGTGATCATCAAGAAGAAAAATTGTACATCATATCTCTCACTCCTAGAGGAAAACCAACTATAGTGCTCCTAGCTTAAGTGAAGTGATTCCCTATTTAAGTACCATGAAGTTCATTGGTCCTTGCCCCTTCCTAGGGGCTTGAGCTTTCCCTTTGGGATAGAGGTGACCCTATAACTAACCATTTCCCAAATTCAAAAATGCATCAAAGGCTTAGGATTTAGAATGAACAAGTCTTCTAGAAAAAATAACACTATGGCATAATGGTCCATCTCACATATACCCCCCCCCCCCCGAAATCTTTCAATAATACTCAGTTATAGAGATAACATATCATCAAAGAAAAAATCACCATATCCAAAATGCAATAAAATCTAACACCATGGACTACTAAATGCAACTAAATAACATTATCAAAGGTGGAATTGACATGCCAACATGAAAACCATGCAAGGCCAATGGCACAATCCTCCACAACACCACCTGCTAAAGCAAGTTTACCACTGCAAATCCTCATTAAGCTAAGTAAAGTGTTAACAATCCTTAGCGAAGTTTACAAAAATCATTAGTTGCAAAACAACTAACAATCATTCTCATAAGACCTAAAACACCACACTCATATCATTGAGTTGCATACTTCTCCAATAGAAAGGTAATACTCCATGTACAACATATAGAAACATGGACAACCCCTTGAATCCAATTGTACAACAAACAAGCTCACTAATGTATATAGCCAATATAATTAAAGAGATTAACTATACATGATCAATACTTAGCTAAAACTAAAGTGAAGACTATGATATGGGCTCATTTTGTACACAACGTTTTAAGATACAAAGCTATAATATGGGTACCAACACCTTAACCATAAACAACTATGTTGGATATCACCATCCTTAACTAAGGCATAAGATCACTAAGACCAAATTAAAATCAATAAGAGCTCATTACTTTTATAGAGTTTAACGAAATGTAAAATGCAACCTACTACCAAGTATAACACTATAGAAAAAAGGCACAAGGATCACTTTTATAGAAAAGTGTAATGACCATTTTTCTACTCCAACTTTAGACTTTATCCAACTCAATTACTTTAACCCCAAAAGTTAACATTCCTTTTGGGGTGCATTGTATAAACTATATACTAAGGTTTAAACTAACCAAGTTAATTCTTCGCTAATTTATAATGGTGCATGAATGAAATGGTTTTAGGCATAATGATCAATAGATCAACAATTGGAAAAGCATAAAAACATTTGTAGAAAATTTCCATCCTAAAAAAAGAATAACTCTTAATCTAGAAATGTAAATTCTCAAGACTCTACCAACCTTTTTTTAACTACAATTTCATAGAGGTTCACTTTAACACAATTCTTATGACCCAATAAAATGTATAAACGTTCAGATATCATACCCATATATCTAACATTTGACAATGATATTCGCAAATGCTAATAAATACCTAAAATTCAATCACA